GGAAAAAGAAACAATTGTAAGAGGTAGACTTAAGGAGTAACTAATGGGAAAAAGGGAGAGGGAAAGGGAAAGAGTGAGTTATGAGGATGAATATGATCAAGGTATAATATATAGTGTAGTTTATATATATAATCAGTATATAGTATATATTATGTAATTTGGAATCTATAGTAATAGATAGATCTACCTATCTAGAGAGAACATAATTGAACTTACTGAAAGTGGTTATGAAGGGAGAAAAGCTATAAAAGAGTTGTAGAGGGTATCAGTTTGATCAAAACACATTATGTTTCTGGATATTACAGAAAAACCCCTTTGTACAATTAATTTATACTAAATGCAAAGAGAAATATAATAATCACAAATCTCTAGAATATATTCTAAATACTACATCATGTTTCACAATATCTAAGAAATGAAGTAGATTTACTAAGGTTAGGGTTTAGAGAGTTGCTTTATAGGACAGAAAATGAGATATATCTCATCTCTGCAGAGCATGTTAGTACTTCTATTACTTTTTTAATTTTAGTACAGCTGTTCTTGGAATGAGAAACCATTTAATAAAACCTATAATCTGTTTTAGACTTATCATTTTAATGTGAAGATTGATTTCCTGCCAACTCACATAAGTTGAAGTAAGAGCCACTTGTAAAATCATTGGATTAAAAAGCAGGTTGAATAAGGTAAGAAGATTAGCTGAAGCTCAAGGTATTAATTTAAAACTTACTTGTTTTAAGAATGTATTGAAATTATAATATAGGCTTCAACATTTAAGTCACTTAAATGTGTGCTTTTAAAAAACATTCACTCTACTTGCATTTTAGATGTGGAAACTCATGAGAACACAGGCCAGAGATACCATGAGAATTTTTAAAGAAAAAATGAGTAATGTAAGCATTTTAAAGTGTTGGAATTAACTTGGATATAGAATGGAATTCAACAAGTGCAACTATGAGTGTCAAGGAAGGGTAGCAAGATAAGTAGTAGGATGGTAGAGCTATTCAAACTATAAAATGGAGATGACCAAGGTAATGGGTAAGTTCTGCAGAGAAAAAGGCTGATGGGCTAAAGAGGAGCAAAAGATGTAGATTTATTTTTAGTAGGAAATGGAGACTACCACGTTGCTAATGCAATGGGGTTATCTACTTAGGAATCTTGAGCTAAGTTAGTAAATCAAGAGCAAAACTGAATATTTCATGTATAATCACATAAGTTTGGCTTTTAAATCTTAGTTCTGGTAGGGTGCAATGAAAATTCTGATCTGGGTGATGGATGTTTATGGAAATTAAACACTGAAAAGAATGGAAAAACTGACTTGGTGAAGTTTAGGTTTAATGTGAAGCTTGTCATTAAAACTTCTAAATTACTAATGTGGGCATTTTCCAAAGAACTTGTCTTTATTATCAATAAACAGTGAAATAAAATTACGAATGAATGCAATTTTTAGATGGTCTTAAGGATAATCTATAAAAACTAGATATGGGAGCCAATCTTAAACCAAATACCTTTAGTTAAATTAAAATATAATGAAATCATAAAAAAATCATATTGTAAATAGTATGAAGACAATAGCAATGCAGAAAATCATGTTCATGAAAATATAACAAAAGTTATTAAGAAAATATGCAAGAAACTATTAAGATATTAAGGAAAATAATTTTATAAAATTAAAATAAATCAGAAAAATCAAAATTCAAATTTAAAATATCAGATACTTATACTGAATATATATTTAAATTCATATATATAATTCAAACTTTTACGAAAATGATATAATCAATAAAATAGACTATTTAAAAACATGGCTTTCAAGACTAAAGAAAGTAAATTTGGTTTGACCCTTAGTTTTCCACTAGGAGATACATGCTAAAGTCTATTCAATAGCTCATATTTCCAAGGGTTGAAAGCACAAGCAGGTGCAGTTCTACATAACTCATGCATAGATCAGTGAAAAAATCTTGCTCTAGGTGTTAGCATTAGCAATCAAAGATGCCTTTGAGTGAAGAAACAGCTGTGTCTTCCTCAGTAACATCTCCTTTGGATGAGGAAAGATGAACACAACCTATAAAGCTAGCAAACGGTTGTTGGATGTCAGCCAAGTTATCACTATGGAACAAATGGCCAGCCTTTGCTGCTGCTAAAGCATTTTGACTTCATCTCATAATGCAAGTAAGTCTTAAGCCTTGATCCAGTTTTATGTATGAGAGAAAGTAAAAATTATTGAAAAATATCCTGAGCAACTTCAACAGATCTTGGGCACTGAAAGTAATAAAGGCTTGCCTAGGCACATATTAGAGGGGGGAAAAAGCATGCCTAGGCAATCGGTTAAGCAATTGGAAACAGAACAATGGGAGATAGCATAGCTGAAAGTAAATTTGTGCTATTTTAATTCATCATTAATGAAATAACAAAGGTTGGATGACTATAGAATTTTTTGTGTCAGTTTTCCTGACTATATCATACGTAAAAATGTTTTTTCCTTTAACAGTTCTTTTTCATCTTACAAATTATATATGTATTCATGTATGATGACAAGTTCTAGCAGAAAGACTGAAAGTTGATGATAAGATAGATGATAATCAACACCATAGGTTTATAGTTGATAAGCAGGTAGGTAGGTAGATAGAAAGGTAGGTGGATGGGTAGGCAGATGAGTTAGTGGCTAAGTAGGTAGATAGGTAGTTAGGTAGGTATAGTTAGGTAAGTAGATTGACATATACACACACACACACACACACACACACACACACACACGTAGAACTAGATAAAAACTAGAGGAATCAAGTTGTTAATTTGGAAAGAATTAAAGTTAACTTTTGTATTTTGCTATAGAAGTTTGATTTAAATGATTCACAATTTCATTAGAAAAGATTTTCTTAATATTTGAAAATATTTTGAAGCTCCCACTGTTGGAAACTATTTTAATTAATGTGATTTAAGATCAGCTGTTTTAAACATGGGTAATCCTTTCCTTCCTTTGATCTAGAGAAAATTTTTTTGATTGTGTTCAGTTACTTTTGATATTCCATTTTCAGGCTATAGTCTACATAATACATCTTCCATGTAACAAAAACCATCGTATTCTGAAGTTGAGCAGATGAACTATCTGCACATTTGAGGCCCTAACAAATAAGAGATGGGCAGACAATATAATCAGTACTGTAGCATAGTATTGACTATTTAGAGGAATCTATATAGTGGCTTTGATATATAAGGTTGAAGATACCAGCCACTGGTATTTATGAAAGCCATTCAACTTATTTATCTCAATTTCAACTAACTGTACATGCAAATTTTCCTTCTCAAACTTTCATATGCTAGCAGTTGAGTATATTATGTTACAAATAAGAAGTTAGGTATATTTAACCAAACCATTTAGTAAAGTAAGAGTAAAAGAGCTATTGAATATGAGAAAAAATGATATTATGAAAAAAAGAGATAAACCTATGGACAAATGGTAAGTATAAAAAATTTTGAAAAAGAAAGAGATCAAGAATAAAAGTCATTACAAGAGACAAAATGAATAAGTAGAATGATAGTCAAAAGATGATGAAAATGAGAGTTGTTCTTCATATTTCAAAGGATTAGTTTGGCTTTTTAGCAGCAGAATAAACAACCATGATCTGACAGTCTGAAAATAAACTGGGTCAACATCTCCCAGAAGATAACAGATCTACTTTATCTTCAAAGGTAGTTTCAAATATTTTGCTCAGGGAAAGAGTCATCTGTTCCAATTTAAGTTCATATTTTGGGACAAATTAACTTAGAACATTTGAAATAGAATTACTTTCTTACTATTTTTATCTTGTTATTTGTCAGCATAAACTAGTGTCTTCAGTCTTTTGCAAGCATTTTTCAGAAAGTTTAAATCAATAATCATTATGAAAAATAATTGTGAAAGTAAGTGACTTCGGTTTTTCTCTCTATTTGTCTTACTTAAATATAATGAAATACTTATTTTTGGAAGATACTTTATGTGCTACATCATGTAGATGTCCACTTCCTATGACAGCCACATAAAACAACATTTCCTCAGAACCAAGAAAAAATTGCTTTTCCTTTACAGGGTCTGTTCTGGGTTTCTTGATGCCAGAATTTATTGTCAGGCATTGGAAACTGCCAGAGTCCTCTAACATTTATATCTGATGGCATGAGCCCAGGTAGCAGGTGTGGAGAGTTAGTCTTACCAAAAGGCAGAAACTGCAGCAGAGGCCTACTAGAACAGCTTTCTTGAAAAGAGTACACTGGTCTTAAGTTTTCTATTGGATAATTGTGCTCCTTTGTCATTATATCCAGAAAAATTTGACTAAACAATAATTCAGAGGTAATTGTAAGAAGGAAAAATCTGGAAGGAAGGCAAAGAAATTTTCTAGTTAAGCCTAGCTGTAATGGAAATATGATACTAAGGTGGGTTCTAAAATGATTTGCAGGATGGGCTATTTAATCTCCATCCTAAGTCTACAGCCTCAGCTATGAGCAAATCAAGACATAGAATGTTAGTGCCAGTCATCCCAAGATATCACTTAACAGTGATTTATTAAAGTTAAACATTTTCAGATTTTCTATTTTCATATATCTCAAATAATACTCAAAAATTAACATGATACATTCAAGAACTGTATTATTCAAGAAATTTTATAAACATATGTTCATTATTTGTCATTTGTGTTTAAGAATTTGTGGTAGGTGCTTTGCATGGTTTTAATTAATTACCCTTCCAAATACCAACATTAGTATGAATTTCTGTGGCTTATTATCTAATGAGAAGTCCAGGATACAATAAATTCTAAGTATTAGCAATATTTGAATAAGCAAAAAAATAACCCTAAAAACAAAAAGACTCCTTTTTATACTTATTCAGCTAGATGGTAATATCTAGTGTTGAATGAAAATATTTTATTGCGTGTTCAAGATTCAGACATACCCATAAATAGAACATTATACTGCTTCTAGTTCTCTTGTAATAGTGAAGACCACCTAAAAACCAATGTTTGATTTACTTAAATAGTTAACAAAAATTTATTGCAAGAGATAATTTTCACTGAATTTACAGTTTCAAGGAACATGGTACAAAACATAGTGCCATCAGCTTTGTCTAAACATTAAATAGGTGCAAATACACAAAGATTAGAAAAGAAACCAAGAGCATACTTTACAACATAAATTACAGTACTATAAATATATTGTATGTACATTATACATACTGTTTAAGACATCCTTGTAATATACAGCATCTATTATATAGATTTGCAAACTAGTCAGTGCTTTAATAATATTCTATATGGGGAACTTAAGAATTTATTTGCATCATTACACTTACAGTAACTGATTTGAAAATCAACAAGGCTGTATTTGGGTCAGTTTATTTCCATCAGTTCAATAGCTTTCAATTTTGATGAACACTTATGCATATAGCAGAAGTCGTCATGAGCATATTTTCTTGCCCCTTGATGGTGATGACTAGAAGAGGGGTTGCAGAGGAATGACAGCTGGGTGTGGAGAGAGCAAGGAAGGGAACAGCGCATGGGGCAAAGGTGGGAATGCCAGGTGGCTAGGATGAAGAACTGAAGCTGGAAGGATTGGCATCTGAGCAGGAGCCACAAAAGGTGGCTGGTTCCCTGGGCAAAGCCTGGGTCCTACTGGTCCTACTGAGATCTGAGGTATGGACGTTCTGGTGAGAGTTGGGACTTGGGAGAGGAACTGTTGGTGTGGCTGAAGCACTTTAAAGGTTCCTGCGGCGGCGGCGGCGGCGGCAGCGGCGGCAGCGGCGGCAGCATGCTGCTGCAGTACAGTGTGATGGATAGTGGTTACAGAGGTAGAACACAAGGGCTGCTGCAAAGGCAGAGGCTGCAGAGGTGTGCTGGGGGGAGGGAGTGGAGTTGCAGGGAAGGTGAATTTGACCTTGTTGGCCAGCATGTTTGGCTGGATTATATGTTGGTAGACCTCGCATGGGAGATTTTTGAATTTCTCGTGGTTTTCTAGTGGGATTAACAGTGCTTGTTCCGGTAAAGCCAACGGAGCCAGAATTTGCTCTGTGGTTACAAAGGTGTGGCCAGTGACATGTGCTTCCTTGAATGGTAATGGAGGCTGTGTGTTAAGGATTCCTGAATTATAACACAGCCACTCTGTGGATGCCTCATTCATCTTTCCATGAGGAAGAGCCTCAGCCAGTTCATAATGGCAAAGGTAGGATTTAGGCTGTGGCTGTCGAAAGTTCCTTTCAGTCTTAGGCACCTTGAAAGGAATCTGCTTTCCACGGATACTTTTAGTCTCACTTCTTCCTTTGTGTTCAAGCAAGGTATTATCCGTTGGTTGCTTTGTTGGGACATTAGCTACATAGGGCGGTGTGGGAGAATCATGGGAAGCCTCTGGTAACACGCCAGGAGTGCTCTCCATTAACAAAGGCCCAGCTTCACCATTGGCTTCAGAAGGAAGCAAATTACCAGGGTGGAAAACCAGTTGGTCATTGACTTTCTCTGATTGTTGCGAGTTCCTTTCCACATTTGCAACTTCTTGTGGTTTTGTTTCCTCCTTTTTGTCTTCACTTATTATTAACCCATCCAGGTGACTTAAAGACGGATTCCCTTTCATGGGATTTTCTGTATTTTCTTTCACCTCCAAGGTTTCACCTCTAGGGTAGAATCTGCTTCTTTTTCTCCTTCGTTTCTTTTTAGGCCTACAGAGAGCAAAAGAAGCACTTGATGGCCTTGAGAATTCCTCGGGTAAATAATTCTGTCGATTTAAACTTTCATCCGACGAGTAAGAACATGAATGTTGTCTACGTTTTCGGTGGAATCTTTCTGATTCACTCACGAGTGAATTGTAACCTCTTTTGACAGGAGGATTCTGATTTACACATTTTGTGTCTTTTTCAAGAACTAAGCATTTGTGATCCTGACTACAGCTTGAGAGTCTGGCTTTCCAGCAACAGTAAGTTCTGGAATATGTTAAGCTTTGCTCCCCAGAATGGATTAGTGTTGGATTGGATTGGTCATGTGAAGATACTAAGTACTGTTTGCGGTGGTTTATGGAACTGATAGCCTCTTTGTCATTACATTGACCTGTCCAGGATTTCCACATCTCTTCATTTTCACTCACATCTGTAGATGCCAATTCGGGTCTTTGATCAGGTAACTCACATGAATCCAGTAATTGTTCAGCAGCCACATACTGCTTTTCTGAGATTGGGTCTGGAAGATTTTTCCTAGTTGTGTCAGTGTAATGATTCTCCATTTCCATTTTGTCATGAGTTTCGGATTCTTTGGTTTTCTCCCCATGATGATAATGACATAACTTTCTTCTTCTTTTCTTTCTCCTACTTTTATGGAACCAGTGTTCATGAGCATCTTTTAACCTTATTTTGTTGTACTTCTCATCTGGAGTGTCCTGTTTTGCGTGACTTTTAGTAGCATTGTACTTATCTGCTTTCCTGGTTCTATAAGAAATATTTTTATACTTCTGAACCAGGGTTTCATTTTTTCCAGAATCACAGTTTTTGAATGGAGAATCATCAGCCAAAATAGGAGCGACTTGATTATGTTCATTTTTGCTACTGAAAATTTCACAATCAGAGAGTCCAGCAGTAGATATGCCCCTGTGATCAGAGACTGGTCCCTTGGTAGCATCTTCCTTCTGCTGAGAATAAGAATCATCTAAAGGCAGCTTGTCTTTTTCTAGGTGGTTCTTCAACTTAGACTTGAAGTCAAAATACAAAGGATTGCAGCTATAAGAAATTGATGGTTCTGTAGTTGTATAGACTAACATTTCTGATGGCCATGGAAGAACTGTAGTTCCATGTTTGTTAAGTACAGGTACAAATGGCTCACATTGTCTTTTACATAAATGTGATTTTTTATGTAAGGTTGTATTATCCTCTCCAATATTCAATGAGGCAAGGGGTTCCAGACAATTTTTATTTTCATTTTCAATTGTAGATTCGTTACTCTTCACATTTTCCTCTGTGGCAGCTTGTCCCAATATGCAATCATCAGATGCTTCAAGGACTGTGGATTTATTTTCCGACAACTCCGAACTGTCACTACTCACAGGTATGTCTTCATTAATAGTAACTTCCTCCAGTGATATTTGATCCATTAATGGGACTGAATTTTGGCAATTATCTGCATAGGAAGATAAAGGGAGTTGAAGCTGGCAAAATGAAGGCAATGATAGGGTACCATTTTCACTAGAGACTTCTTTTATCTCTTGAGTGTGAGCAGTCTCTTTGTCAGTGTGCATTACTTCTGCTGGATGAAAAGAGTTAGCTTTCTCCTCAGAATTCAAAAGCACATCTGTTGCGGGAGATAGTTGAAGATGACAAGTGCTGGGGACAAATCTACTTTTTCTGCTGAATTCTTTTTCCACAGAGGCATCATCATTGTACTCAGAGAAGGCTGCAGCTGAGGACTCCAACTTCATGGATGCTTTCTTTGGAAATGCAAAAGAAAAGCCAATTTTGTGTCTGTGAATTCCCTGGGCTTGGTCCCCGGGTTGGTTATTTCTTGCTGTGTAATTATTTGTACTTCCAGAATCGACAGGAACTGTGGTAACATCTTTCGTGTTCTCTTCACTATGTTGCAAAGTACATTTGAAATCTTGCTGGTTATTAACCGAATCCACAACAACACTTTGGGGAAATTCATTGCAGTTCTCTCTTACGGTAACAGTTGTTGACTTGAACATGGGACCACTTCCAGGAGCACTACAATAGGAAAACAAAGTGCATGTTAAATAGGACACTTCAGAAGAAAGGTATTCAAACACAACTTAAAAACACCATGAAAATATTTTTCCACTTTTGACACCTTTGTATGGAAATGACTATCATGTGGTGAAATTTCCATCCTTCCAGTTATTGATTATTTGTGGGACAACATGGAAATACTGTCTTGAGATGACATTTTCTAGTTATGAACAGCAATGCCTATAGCCCATTGCTATGTTCACAAATCAGTGCTTCCTGACCAAGTTTGTTCCATCTCTTGGTTTCTTCAGGGATATTTTAAAGCATTGTACAATTCCCTAAGGTACAATTACTTCTAATTTACAAGTAGTTGACATCATTCTCACTATATGGAAAATATGAAGAGGGTTGAAGAATTGAAGGGTTGAAGAGCTGAAGGTAGGAAGGCTGAGAATTTGGTTGGATAATCCAGTTCAACTGACTTTCATTGAATTGATGATCCTCCAATTGATTTGCTGCCAAGCAAAGATATCTTAGGGGCAGAAAGTACCAGCATGAGGAGAGCTGAGTCTCTGGGGATTTTGAGACTCAATATCTAAAATATCCAGAAGTTTTGAGTTATATCATAATATATAGTTATTCCAGATAATGGAATGTGTTTGAGATGAGAATTCTACTAATTTGGTATTGGAGCATAACCATGAATTAGTATGATTAAAGAATTTAATTAGCTGGGTGCTATTGGCTCACTTCAGTAATTCTAACTATTCAGGAGGCTGAGATCTGTGAGTTGTGGTTTGAAACCTGCACAGTCAGGAAAGTCTGTGGGAATCTTAAATTAGCCAGCATAAAGCCGGAGTGAATCTGTAGCTCACTTATGAGAGTGTTAGCCTTGAGCAAAAAAAAGCTCATGGAACTTGTCCAGACTCTAAATTCATGTCCCAGGATTGGCACCAAAAACAAAAATGAAACAAAAATGATATTTTTCAATATGCAGATATAATAAATTCATAAATCTTATCCTTACACTGCCAGAATTAATATTGCAGAATATCTGATTCTCTTAAAATTTGTTTTTTGAATTTTTAAATTTCCTAATATTTATTCAATATTTTTCTTTAACCACTAACATCATGTGTTGACCTTTTCTGCTATGAAGTACCGGCATCACTTTCTACTTCCGTATCTTTAAAAGAATAAAATCAATGGAAAACTGTGTATGAGTGTTTTTATGTATTCAATGTGAACTACGTGAGATCTATATTGAAGCTAGTAATTTATGTAAGAACCATAGGAGTTTTTTCTACATATATTTTTAAATCTAGTTCTTTTTAAAATTTTATTTTATTGTAAAGAGGCTGTACAGAGGTATTACAATTACATGAGTAAGGTAATGAGTACATTTCTTGTTGAGCAGTTACCTCCTCTTTTGTTTTTCTCCCACTCTCTTCCCTCCTTCACCTCCCCCACTCTTCTCATTCCCCCAAAGTTGTAAAGTTCATTTCCAATATACTGTCTTGTACATATCATTGTTGCAGTGGGTCATCCTATATCCTTGTTTCAGCATTTTATGATTCTCCTTCCCCTCTCCAAATTAGACAAATGTATATACAAGATGCAAGGTACCAAAATCAAATACATCAACAACAGGGGGAAGAACATGCAGAGGAAACAAAAAAAAATCACATAATACATTAAAATAACAACAAAGAAAGATGTCTTATATCCATATCTTGGGTTCGTTTCATATAACATCATCTTATAATGTCTTATGTACATAGCTTTTGAGCTTTTCTGCTCATCTGATAAAATTATCCTACACATATATTAATTATTGCAAACGAGGGAAACCATAGGACGTATATTTCTTTGGGTATGGCTTAAAACACTTAGCATAATTTTTCCAAGTTTTTTTCCATTTTCTAACAAATGGGTTAGTGTCATTCTTTCTGATGGAAGCATAGAATGCCAAAATATATACCACATTTTCTTGGCCCATTCATCTACTGAGGGTCATCTGGGTTGGTTCTATATCTAAGTTACCGTGAAAAATGCTGTGATAAACATAGCTATGCTGGAGCTTTGTTTTTATACCATATCAGAAATTACATTGTCAATTGCCACTTCTAGGATAAGACATTACATAGGTCCCACACTTCTCTATCACCTTATCTTTCATCAATTTTTCACTTATTCTCATATAGAATAAACATATCTCATTACTGAATTGTGGCAATGTTTATTTTTTTTCTAACTGTTCCACATAGAATTCTAAATATATTTAGACTTTACTTTGATTTGTTGTCTAAATTTAGCTTCCCTAAAAATGTTCAGATATATCAATATATCCAAAAACATTATTCAGTACAAAAATAGATATGGTATAAAATCATTGTTATAGACAATAACAAGAAAAGGTTTATTTATTGGGAAAATAAAAAGGCACTTTCTAAAGTGATTTTGTTTTAATAGCATTCTTCTAGCTGGGGTTATAAGGTCTGAATTTTAATACTGTTCATATCTAACCACTGCTCACTATGAGAAAGAGGTCAAACTTTAAGAGCTGTGAACTTCTAACAGCTCAGTTATATTTTATTCACAGGAACACTAATTCTGATATATGCTTGTAAAGGGCACAGAATCTTCCTGATTTCCTTTTTAAATTTTAAAGAGAACTTTGAATTAAAGTTCTCCAAATATTCATTCAAAAATTAAGTTCCTCTTAAAACTGCTTTTGTTTAAGAAGGTCACAAGAGAGAGTCTTGCTCTCATCTTTAGTAACATGTTTTCCATGTCACAAAAAATAGAATAGTTTTCAATTAAGATAGTCTAAGAATATAATATTAGACTAAAAATAGTATTATAAAGGTGATGTACAGAGGAGTTACAGTTACATAAGTCAGGTAAAGAGTACATTTCTTTTTGGACAATGTCACCCCTTCTTTCAAATCTCTCCAGATTTATATTTAAAAACTGAAATTATGATAATGTTGGCGTTTTAATGAAATGTGCAATAGACAGGTGTTTGAATAAAATGTAAATTACTGTTTACAACCCACAGAAGGCCATGGAAATGTGTGTGCTTTATTCTAGGTACAGAAAAGATAAATCTGTGCCCTTTATTTCTCACTCCTCCAACCCTTTTATTTTTGTCATATTTTAAGGAAACTTAACATTTCAGTGAATACTTACCATACAGTTTCCTTTCTTAGCTCAGCCAGCTTGTGCAAACGTTGGAGTGCTTTTTCCTGTTTTCTTTCATCTTTCCTGGATTTAGATGCTACATTCCGAGCAAATTCTCTTTGTTTCAGTTCTTTGAGTCTCTATTAAAAGACATGGAAATAATTAATGGTAGTATTGCTTGTGGTAAATTCTAAGTTCTGTACTTGTTGGAATTTTCCAGTATACTATACCTGAGTTCAACAAAGGAAAGCACATCATTCATAAAATAACATACTTTTAACAAGAGTATTTTTTCTGAAAATATTAGAGCATATTATCATAGCAAAGTAAGATATATCTATATGTTATATAGACTGGACTTGAGAACTTGCCTCTCCTTCCTAATTGTTATCTGGTATGTTTGTTTAATTCAGGCGAGGCAATAAAATCATCTTGAATATAAATTGAACAAGTCTAATTTAGTTAGGTATTTTAATTCTATATATTACTCCTTATATTTTGGCAAGTTCTACACTTATAAGTTTTCTGGTCTTTTGCATGTCTTCTAAAAACAAATTTGTGATATTATTCCATAAGGCAAAAGACCTCTACTGAAGTGGTTTTAGTAACCCCCTCTCTCAAATATCAGGCAAATCTTTTCAAAAATACAAGGAAGTGAAGAAGGTCAGTATTGCTTTGATGGAAATTTTTATGGATATTGTAATTATTTTTATTTTTATTAGAGAAACTTTTATGTGTTGAATGCCAGATAAAAGAGCATGAAGACTTGAATAGAGATGGTAAATAGATTTGTGTGGCATTCAATATAAGGGACATTAAGGCAGTCCATGTTCCAAATTATATCATTATATCTTTCACAGAGACAATATATTAGAATAGCATTTTTCTGAAAGTTCATGTCATTATACATTTTTACTATGTAAGAGTCTTGGTGAAGTATTCTAGAGAAGTTAAATATTCACCAGTCACATTTTTGTAAAGTTATTGAATAGCATTTTAGAAATGCCTTATACATGTACATATACATGTGTATACACATATAAAAAATCTTAGAAGAATGCACAATATATACTTACTCCATAATTATTTGTTCATTGTATTAGGTAAATGACTTGTATCCTCCAAATTAGAAATTTTCTACCTCAAAAATGTTATTTATTCTGGTTTAATAATATTAAACTCTGAACTATCCTGATTATTCTCAATTCCATCTACATAGCACTATATAACCAAGGCAACTTATAACATACACAGAGCTCTACTTTCAAATTATTTCCTATATTTTACTTGATGCATTTTATATAAGCTTACATACACACACACACACACACACATATATATATATATATATATATATATAAATCTATCAGCTCTCTCTAGACATGTGTGTCTTTTCTAGAATAAAAAACAATTTTACATTTATTGAATTTTAATATATTAAATTTTAAATTTATTTTGAGCATGTTCTATCCATTAATATATGTGTTCAGGAAGTTTTTCCAGAGGAGGATTTATCTATTTTATTTTCTGATACTGAGGTTAAAACTCAAGGTCTTATACTAAGTCTATTTGCTTGCTCAGCAGACACTATGCCATATGAGCCATGCTTCCAGCCAAACTTTCTTACTGGTTAATAAGAGTCTTGCAAAATTTTCTGCTAACCAACTTCAAACCATGATCCTTTGGATTTCAACTTCCTGAGAGCTAAAATTACAGGCATGAGACACTTGTACGTAACAAATTTTATTCTTAAAATTAAATTATGTAATTTGTGTGTGTGAGAGAGAGAGTGAGAGAATGAGAAAGAGATAGAGAAAGAGAGAGAGAGAGAGAGAGAGAGGTTGCTGGGGCTTGAACTCTGGCCTGGGCACTGTCCTGAACTTTTGCTCTCCAGGCCAGTTTGAATCTCAGCTCCACTTCTGGCTTTCTGGTGGTTAATTGGAGAGAAGAGTCTTAGGAACTTTTTTGCTCAGGCTGACTTTGGACCATGATCCTCAGGTCTCAGCCTACTACATAACTAAGATTGCAGAAATGAGCCACCAGTGACAGCTGTTTTGTTTTGTTTATTGAAGCATCATTTAATCTTTATCATTTTCAACGCCATCTACTGAGTTTTGAGATTATTAGCACATGGCACCCTGCGTGGCTTCCAGAGTAGTATTTTTAGCCAGATACAAATCCTGACCAACAAGAGAAAATATAAAACTTTATGTATGATTATTCAGTTCATAATTACACCAACGATCATTGTGTCATAATTGCAAACCAAATTTTCATAAATGTCTCTGGGTTCATATGGCCATTCTTACAGTAGAATTGTTGGAATAATAAAATATACACAAGTGTTTGTTTTGAGGTTTTGAATAGTTTTCACACAGACATATAACTGCATATTTCCCTCAGTATATATGAGAATGTGTAACATAGCTATTGATCATAGCATCACCCATTTTTAAAAAATGTATAGACAGCAAGTAATGTTGTTACATTTTACTATATTAATTTTGCTAATATTTTGTTAGTATCCATTTGTTTGATTAGAAAGCAGAAATATTTTGCAAACATCCACACGGCTTCCTCAAATGCATTATAAGAATTGCTGATTTGATTCTGGCAATAAACACACATGTCAAAAAAGCTTGAATTATTATTCACATTCAGAATGAAAAAATGAAGGAAAGCATATTTTAGAGACTTTTCAAGAGTCATTATAAATGTTAGAATCAGCACAGCATTAGAATCAGAATTTCCTAAAACATGCCTTATGATTTTTCTCTTCATATTTATTTTACTCTGTTATTCAAGATGTTAATTCTTAAGGACTCCCTGACAAGGTTGTGATGCATATATTCATTTATCTTTCATTGAGTGATGCTATCAGGTTATTCTACATGCAGCTGATACATAAATAAGACAAAGAGAAAAAATCCTATTCTTTTTAATGTTATTTTATCATAGTTGAACATGAAGATATTAAAACATATAAATATTGTGGTTATATAGCCTATAGAAAATGCAAACTGATATGGGTGAGGCAAAGTAAGCAGGAACTGTGGCCAGAAGAGGGATAGAAATCTCAAATAGAGTGACTAGAGAATGTTTATTATTTTTTGGAGCAAATTATCACAAATTCACCATGTTAAAATAATCCAATGTTTATTATCTGATAGAGTTCCAAGGGTCAGTATGCCTGTGTTTTATTCAATCAAGGTGTTTGTTAGGTTTGATTTTCATCAGAAAGCCTGTCTGGGAAATTTCCTCTTTAGAGCTTGCAATGTCTTCAAAATTATGTACCTGTAGTACTGAGAATTTTATTGCCTGCTGCAATCACTATTAGCAACTACAGACTGGCAGCTTTTTTCTGGGCCAGGACCCTTTTACCAGCTCCTTTACAGGATGACAGCTTCTTTGTCCAGTTAACAAGGACCAGTTTCTACCTCCATTCTACTCAGATAGACTCCTGTATCACATAATGTAGATTTATAGAAGTTAATGGTATGGCATCCACTCACTTTTTCATATTTCATCAGTTACAAAATACATTATAGACCCACTAATGGCATTTTTGAGAATTAATAAGGAACACTTGCACTATGGAAAGACACATTGGGATAGTGACAGTTGAGAAAATACTTAAAAGGAAGTGAGGATATATTGCAGATTAAAGAAAAAAACAAAACAACAATAACAACAGCAACAGAAAACACCTCTAAGCAGCAAGAACAGCCAGAGTAAAAAGTAAAAGTAGCTACTTCTGTTTAAATTACTTCCCCTAATGGACTAATGACTACTTGGTAACATTGATGCTTTTGAATTGCTGGTTTACAAATGGTGGTGGGGGGGGGAAGAACTATTCATACTGTGGGCAACAGACAAATGACAAAAGATAAAATTTAGGTCTGACTTACAGACAGCTGTGTGAGCTGTAGTCACCACCCTAAAATAGACAGATGCAGCTATCTAGCTCCTTGCTGAGACATCCTTGGAGGCCAGTAATGAGGGAAAATACACTAACAGGCAATACTTCATGCAATAAATCTGATTGTTCATTTTCTTTGGAAAGAAAGAAGGTCAGCTTATAAAATGATGTATCAAGTCATAAGATGAGAACAAGGATTTGAGTGAAGGGTATAGACTTAGAAGAAACATGTTCAAAAGCTGGAGACAAAATGGGCTGAGCAATTCAACACACTCCTCTGGGAAAAGCCCAGAGTTGGCCAAAATGGATTTTAATAATAAAATGGACAGGTTGGCTTGTGGTGTGACAACCAGCAAACCTTTTTCCAGCTACTTTTGCTATCACCCAGTGGGATTATGAAAAAAAAATTAGTCATGGTGGTAGAGAAACAGGTTATGTTTAAGCTCTGACAAGTAGATTTGCGCTCACTGAACTCAACCTGGCTCCAGGAGCTAGACTAAAACTTACCCCTAATATACCATCATTCCCTGGATGCTCAGCCAGCTGCCTGCTGGCAGTTGATTAAATTGGACTGCTTCCATTTTTAAAGGAATACCATTAGATTCTTCCTGGAATAGAAATTCACTCTAGATATGGAGATGTCCTCTCTGTACCCAATACCACTCATCAAACCATTCACAGAATGCCTTATGCACGATGCCTTATATTGTATTTGACATAGCATTGTTCAGTTCAAAATAACTTACTTCCTAGGAAATAAAGTTCAGCAATGAGCCCGTGCTCATCAAATTTACTGGGATTGCTATGTTTACAAATGTTCTGGAGCAGCCTTTGCAATCCTCAGATGTAGCTCTAGCTAGCTGGTAATACCTTGCAGGACTGCGGTGAGGTTCTTGTATAGGCTGTTACATGCTTGGAACCAGAATGGAATACTGGGTGCTATGTATATGAATCCCAAAGCCAGGATTCATGCATCTACAAATCAATTAATTGAAATCCGAGAGTGGTTGCAGTCCCTATAGTGATCCATTACCTTTCTACCTGTGTCCTTGTGCTCTGCTGGCCTAGATATCTTAATGCAAGGGGAGGAATGTTTCCACTGGGAGACATAATGCTGTTTTTTAATGAAAAACTAAGTTTTTTTTTGGCCTGGTTACTTTTGTCTTTTTATGTTTCTCAATGAACAGGTAAAAAAGGGAGTCACTGTGTTGTGGGAACTAC